GAAGAAGAAGAAGAAGAAGAAGAAGAAGAAGAAGAAGAAGAAGAAGAAGAAGATCAAGAACAAGAACAAGAAGAATAAGAACAAAAACAACAACAACAAAAACAAAAACAACAGGAACAAGAAGAACAAGAAAAATAATCAGAAGAACAAAAAGAACAACAAGAAGAAATATAAAGTAAAAATATCACAGCCCTGTTAGTATAGTAATGATATCATCCTGAATCCTACAGATAAATGTTCTCAACAAAGTACTCCGTCCAGTGTGGATGGAGGAGTGAAATACAGTAATTTTTAAGAGTTAGGTTCATCCGATCCAACATTTTACAATCAACAAGAAAACAGAAACATTAACATTTGCGAGATCATGAACAGTTTAGCAAAGGTCGTGCATTGATTTTTTTAAAACACACAAAAACACACACAACAAAACAAACAAAAAAACAACCAAAAACCCCCAAATCGCCCGGGCTTCTAAAGTAACGATAGAAAAAGATCAAAAGATTGACAGCATTATATTATCACAAGTGAAATGAAACACCGGTACTGACACACGTGCACAACATAGATCGGCGAAAAAACCTACAGAGTTTACACACTCCGTATACACCAACAAGAGAGGATGAGGATTTGCAGTGTCATGTCACATGGGTTAAGAGTGGGATTGGTACTGGTAGCACGGGGTAATGAGTGTAGCCCTGGTGTGTGCATACGTAAGTAACATCCCAAGGACGAAATTCCCTAATTAATGTCAGCGTATAACTTCAAGATGTGTTTACACAATTGATATTTTACGCCCAAATGAAATTTCTGTTCTTGACTTTATGTTGCGTGTCTTCAAATTTCCAAGCAAAGAGAATATTGGTGACATTGCGTGAGTCAATTAAGGGCTAAAATCTTCTATTTTTGAGGTTCCGGTGCTGTTGTATGAGTCACTGGTTTAAACTTTTGAAACGAATGGAACAGTGTTAATATATTTGATATATAGGGTCCCGTCCATAAGTCAATTAGGATCTATTTTATACCAATCAGTTCATGGCGTCTTCATCTGGTGCCAGAAAGTTATGCATAAATAAAAACATTTATGTCACACTAAACGTAAAGGCGATACAAACTTCATTTAAAACTTAATGTCAACGAAGCAAAGATCTACTGGGAACAAGCGTATGCGTAGGTTATTTCCATCTTTGTACAATATTTGTGAGTGCGTAGTTGGGTGAAGACTTAAACGCAATGTGTAAAATACCG